TGTATTCTAATCAGATTTGGACACAAACGGAAGTTTGCTTTTTTTTTTTCTTCTTTTAACGAAGAGGGGAAAAAACAGCTGCTGCAACTCACAGCAGAAAGGCAAAGGGCTAATTAGTCTTGATTGCAAAGTGGGAGAAAATATCTTCTCCAGGAATAGGTAAAAGGACGTAAGAGATTTGCGCTCAAAAGGCAAGATTTCCGCCTAAAGCGAGGTCGGTCAGGCAGGAGAAGCGCCCCCTATCTCTCCTGCCCAAGCGCGTATAGAAAGTAGTCAGACGGTCACCAAGGCTGTGTGACCCAACAGGAAGATGGAAGTCAGCCCTCCCTGTGGGACCTAAAAGCCAGAAGCTAGTATAGGTAACTGTACACCACTTGTAAATTAATGTGGAAAACCATAACAAGGAGAAACACAAATCCCACCCTTGTTGAGCTTCCTCCCTCCAAAATCTCAGCAGTGGTAAGGCTGAGGCTGGAGAATCACCAGGAGTTCAAGGCCAGCCTGGGCTACATAATGAGTTTGAGGCCAGCCTGAATTGCAAGGTAAAACACTATCTCAAAAAACAAACAAAAGAAGAGACAAGTTATAAAGTGTTAAGTAGAAAGCCCAAAACCAAGACCAAACCAGGACCATAACAAGCCCTTATTACACCAGGATGTCTCTGAATAAAGGAGAGAGCAACATGGCAGCACAGGGAACTTCTTTTATAGCAGCCGGGTGGGGTTAGCCAGAGCTGGGGGGGGGGGGTTGAGTAAAGTACTATCAAGGGATTGGAGGAGCCCGTGACATCACTAAAAGGGGCTTGTGACATCACTAGTTGCTAGGAGATAGCAAGTATCAGGTTACCTTTCTTGGCGGAAGAGGGGCATGCTGGGAAGAAGAAAACTGTCTTTTGGTGGGAGAAGCCATATTTTAACATGGCATTGTGGGAAGGAGGCTGCTATTCCATTTGGCAGCCATCTTTAAAGCACAGAGCATTATGGGAATGAGGAGGCTGCTAGTTTATGTAGCAGCCATCTTAAGGCAAGGGAAATGTAACATAAAGCAATCCCTGGAAACCAAAGCAAAGACAAAGGAGTTTATGCTTCTAAGACTCTTGAGATAGTTTTGAGACAGATTAAAAGTGCTAGGCAGGCTAAACGGGGACATGACTTGGCCAGTGGCTGTCACACTTCTCCTCTTCACCTCCGTTTGCTTCCCCACACCCCCAAGTATCAGGAAGGGAGAGATCTTGCCGAGCATTCAAAGTAAGCTTTCCAGAAGATTCCCTGGCTATGGCCCTGCCTCTCTCTGACAGAGACTTGTACCTGCTACATAAGCGGCACTCACCATCCACTTCTCCGATTTAGTCTAGGAAAGCACCTTCCTGTGACTGATCCCTGTGTGCTCAGGCTCGGTTCGCTGTTCTCCTAAACCTGCTCCTGAATTATTTCTCCAGGTATTGTGGACTTCAAAAGTCCTGTAAATCTACTTGGGAATTTTATCCTGAATAGTGTGCACAGAGTAGTTGTCTCAAAAAAACCAAACAAACAAACATAAAAAGAGCAATAAACAATAAGAGCTGGCAGCTCTGAGGAACTCGAGAAATCAGCAAAGAATGGCAGGGCAGGCAGCAACCAGTAACAGAACTGCACTTTGCTAGTTCATGATTTCCATCATAATAGAACAAAAGGAACCCTAGGCTGATTGGCAACAGTTTTAACTATAGGTTCCTTGGATTTAGGGGATCTACAGAAATTTTTCCCAAAAAAGCACTGGTGAATTAGATTAGAGGATGGGGTGTAGGTCAGTGGGGGTTCTCAATCAGTGTTGAATTTATTATGAGCTCTCTAACACTTCTCATTTGAACTCTTTATATTTTTATTCCACTGAAGTACCAAGATTATTGCAATAATACTAACTCTATTATTCATTTCATTCTTTCATATACTTATTTTTCATGTTTTCACGTAAAAGAAAACATTATGAAAAATTGTGAGAAGATACCCATAAACATGCACTGAACCAGGAGAATTTTTCTAACTGCAAATTAACATCTAGTAACATCTAGCAAAAATACAGTATTTTTCAAGTATTTTTTCATTCCCTTGTCTTCTGCTTAATTTCTGCCTTGTCCTCAAGGAATGTATTTCTCTTTCCATCCTATAAATGTTGGTATTCCTCTGGTTTCATTCTTCAAGCCTCTTTTCTTCTCATCTATCCCCATAGAACTTATTCTGTCCTACAACTTTAATAATGACTATTCCAAGCAAGGCCAGTCCCACCAGCTTTCAAACAGTACATCCACACCTGGTCCTATATTCAGAAAGTCCTGATGTTTTGGGTTTTAGTGCTCCGTGGTTGCCACCTGGAAATTTTTAGTAATATTATCTTTGAATTTTTGTTTTGCAAATGAAGTCTAATAGGACAGTGCCTCAGTTTATGCCCAGGTTCCTATCCCCTCTCTGTCTCCCTAGAATTGTTTCTCAGCCACCAGCTCCTCTGTTCCCTGATACTCAACCATGATCATCCTCTTCAACATACCCAGGACTAGTGTTACTGTTTGTCCTCAGCAGAAGTGCAGGCACAGGTGCATAGAAGGTCAAAGTCATATGCGTGCACCCACTGTATTGTGGGTGAGGTATAGTGACATTGGTCCCTGCCCTGGACTAGCAGTGCCACAGTGCATCTAGTATAAGCCTCTTGCCCACACCTCAGCAGAAGTTGCAATCTCTTGGAAGTTGTCTCCACAATGTGTGTTGAAACACAAAGCCAGTAAAGGATACCTGGCTCAACTTTCTGTCCCTAGCTAAAGCACAGTTTGTTAGTCCTGCAACTGCTGGTGGAAGTTCTCAGAAGCTGTTGGGCCTAATATGCTTTTTGAACAAAGGTCCCCATATTTCTATTTTGCACTGGGCCCTCAATATCCTGTAACTGGTCCTGTTTTCAGAAACTTTATTTGTAAACCAGATTTCTTTTCCCTGTTGGAGATCATATATGTTTGCATGTTGGACATCTTTCCTTGTATATCTTTTAGACATTTCAAATTTAGCAGGTCCAAAAGCATTTATAAACTCTGCCCCCAAATTATTTCCCTAAATCACAGGATTCTGTAAGTTAGTTACATAACCTAGAATCATTTTGACTCCTGCTTCTTTCTCCCCCGCCATATCAAACCAGCTGTTGAATTCTGCTTTATCTACTTCCTAGCTATCTTAAATATATCCTGTATTTGTTGTTTATCGCCACATAGACTGACATTTTAGCAAATACTTGAAGGAAGTAGAAGATTAATACATGTAAATATCTGAGGGAACCAAGTTTTAAGCAGAAAAAAAAAAAGTGAATGCAAAGATTCCAAGAACTGGCAAAGAGTTCATGGCATAATAGATTGCCTCAAAATGTTATGGCTTACAAAAATAAGTATTATCTCTCACAGTATTATGTGCATGCATCACTTTAGAAAGGTACTAGAATTAGTTGGCTGTTTCTGATTACATGGAAGGAGATTAATGAAAAAGAATAAAGAACTATATAAGAGCAAGAATTATGGTATTTACCCAATAGTAGTATTGTGATAGAAGGAAATTTCTACACCATGTTGTACATAGCATGAATCAATACAACTTTTTCCTTCCCAGATATTACTGGAAAGTGAATTTGAGACATGAAATCTCCATTAGAGATGTATCTGTAGTCAGTGCTTCATCCTCAGAGTTCTATTAGTCAAGAATACAATATATTTCTCTTAGTTCTAGTCATAATTATTATAGACAGCTTAGTTAAGTTATAGGCAGTCATACGGGGCTGGGCACTTGAAGAATTCAGTGCAGAAGATAAGAACACATCACAACTGTGGCTGGAAATAAATTTGATAGAGGCCAGACTTCAAGACAAAAAATTTACTACACCCACATGCTTTCTTCAGTGATGAACAGCAGGGATTAATATTCTAAATAGGTATCAGGTAACTTGAGTGGGAACCGAAACCTCCCTAGCCCATTTTTTCTCAGAAAAAAAATCTTTGTTCATTACATGTACCCTTGCTACATGACTTGCTTCCTAATTTGATCCTCATTTAATCAATATTACTTAAGCAACTATAGTTGTAATCTTATTCGCTGGCCATAGTTTTGTCTTGCCTGTACCCACCTTGTGAGATGCTGAGCTCCGGGTAATTCTTGTGGTAGAGGGTAAGTCCATCCATTTTTTCCTTGATACAAGGGCTTCACATGCCACCTTTCTTTTTCTACAAGGGAAGTAGTTGTTCTGGCCCTAACTACTGTTGTGGGTATTGATAGCATAGTCCCCAGACCTTTTAGGGCACCCCAAATTTGGTATCAATTGAGCTGACACCTTTTCCCACCTTTTCCATTCTTGGTCATCTCCACCTGTTCTGTCCCCCTTTTAAGGTAAGATATCTTAGCCAAACTGTTGGCCACTTTAACGATCCCTGGGGCATCACCAGTGGTTATAGCTATTCTGGCCTGCCCTTTCCTGTCTCCCCATGAGGCTTTCATTATCTCAGTCCAAGTCTTGGATACTTGCATACCATTCCTAGCCTCATTCTAACACGACTTACCATCCCTCTCAAGTCTAATCTACTCTGCCAATGACAGTATCCCATCCCTGACCTAGCTTTAAGGGGCCTGCAACCTATTATCTCTCATCTATTACAGCATGGTCTCTTAAAGCTTGTCAGTTCCCCTTAAAACACCCCAATTTTCCTGGTATGGAAGGCAGATGGCTCCTCTAGGCTGGTACAAGATCTCCGTGCCTTTAATCAGATTATCCTTCCTATACACTCCATTGTGCCAAGCCCCTACACACTTTTGTCCTCCATCCTTCCATCCATCACTAATTACTCTGTCTTAGATGTAAAAAATGCCTTTAAAAAAAACTGTTCTCCTGCACCTCTCCTCACAACCTCTCTTTACCTTTACCTGGAC